CGCCACGAAGGCTGATTGGGTTTCCGAGATTAAGCTGGGCAGACAGCGTTTGAGGCGTTACATATTCTACTTATCCTTACAAAATAAATATTTTTTTCTCGAATAATTAAGCAGAATAAGTGTTTGCGATATTAAATACCTCCAAAGACTAGGATTTAAGAGAAACCAACGGAAGCAAAGGAGAACTCCTGGTAAATAAATCTATGTCACCTCTAGACGTTCAAAAATAATTCTAGCTAAGTTCTTAACTTTTTTGCTTATGTTCTTTAAATTTTTCGAAGCCCTTTCTCAAAAAAAAAATTTCTTTAAATTTTTACATAATTTTTTCTACATTGTTTTTGATATATGGAAAAAGGTATTTCTTTCGGGATGTTACTGTTTTGGCTAGTGATAAATTGTTGATTTCTTTACACTATTATCATGCGACTAAAACTGAATAATAAACAATAAAAATATGGTTAGGTTATGAATAATTTCTGTAAGGTCAAAATGTGATCTATGATTGTGTTTTATAACATGCCAATAACACAATTCTCTTACCTACACTACCAATTTAATAATTCAATCTAATCTAACCTAAGACTTACACACTGGAAAAAGTTTTTGGTAAAATAAATACTGGAAAATTGTTACGTTACGTTTCTTTATATTGCGATTCACGTGGAGAATATAGCTTTCTATGAATATAAATGTTAGAGATTTTAAAGATTGTGTTTATCTAATTAAATAATATCATTGAATTTCAGATTAGCCTGACCTCCATGTATTGGTAATTATCCTCTCGTGTACTAATTAGTTTACGTAGGTATATATATATATATATATATATATATATATATATATATATATATACTCTAACGACACACACACACACATGCATAATAATGCAACTAATTTGAACATAATATAAACGGTAAAGTAGATTTGTGGTTTTTTTTACATAGCTAATCAACTAGTTGTGTTATTATGTTCAGCATCATTGCATCAACTTAATATTAAAAGTCCAATAGTAGATGCGATTATTATCTTTGCATCACTATGTTTAAGATGGAGAGTTTAGTGTTTGGTGACGAGAGATCTCCAAGTTAATTTACCTATAATTAAGAGAGGGAGAAGAAAAAGAAACTACAAGACTAAATAAAATGCCCAAGCTTCGACAGGCATATTAATTGGAAGGTAGCGGTAATGAGGAACTAGACACATTTGAGTGTTCTTCGTTTGTCCATTTGCTATCTCCTATCAGATGATCAATATTTAGATGATAAATACAATTGTTCCATCTGAATGTTATTCGAAACTGTTAGTTTTTTCATCTAGATGGTTCACTTAAATGAATCATTTAAATTAAATTCCGCTAGTTTGATTATTTCTTTTTTTTGCATCTAATTAAGTTTAGTAAATAAATCGTATATTGTATATATCTTTGTTTTGATTCAATCATATTTTTTATGTTTGATTATTTTAATTTTTATTTATTATCTAAAATATAGTTATTTCAAAATAGAATTTTGGTGGAAAGATATAATAATATTTGCGCAACCTTTTAAAGTTCAAATAAATTTTATTTTTCATCCAATTGAAAGAAAATTAGATCATTGAACTAAGAAATTTTTTTAAAAGAAATTATAGTCATATATATGTGTCTGATTTAGTACTGAGGTAGTGTACACATCTCAATTTGCATAACTAAAAAAGTTCAACATGATGAATAACGATGAAAAGTGAAGATCACCGATGTCAATTATTATCACATTCTGAAGTTTTAATATTTTCATATATTTAATTATTTAAAATCAATTATTAAAAAATAATATATTAATTAACTGTTAATTTTTTTATCATTTCAAGTTTATCATTTTTATTCTATATATATTAAGTTTATATGATTTGAAAATGAAAACATACTCTACAATCCTTTAATAAAATTTATATATTTAAAATATTTTTAGAAGGAATCTGAAAATATAATTTTAACTTCTGAAACTCTATTATGTATCTTTTAAATATATAAATTATTTATTAATTAATAAACTAAGTTTTAAATTTTATTAAGCAAACTGTTGTATTATGTAAAATTGAATATGTTTATTAAATAAAATAAAAGGTAATATAAAAAAAACTAAAAAATAAAGGATTGAATTTCAAAACTATTTTGTAGGGCTGGGCAATCGGGGTCCCAATCGGGTTTCCGTTCGGGTTCATTCGGGTTTCGGGTTTTCGGGTTCATGAATTTCAGCCCCATTCGGATATTATAAAAATTCGGGTCGGATTCGGTTCGGGTTTAGTCGGGTTCGGTTCGGGTTTAGTAACATGTCCAAGATCCGGTTGAACCCGAAATAGTTTCGGTTTCGGATACTAATCGGGTTATCGGTTCTAAAAAATACTAATTTATACTCAATTAAACTCACTATATTTTCAATCATTTTATTAAATTTGTGTATTTAGCTTCTACAAACCATATTGTTCTCCTTCAAAATAATATTGTGAAACTCATCTATCAACCATATAAGATTTGTCAATGAACTATATGTGACAACACTAAACATATCATGATTAATGACAAACCAAAGCCTTG